AGCCTCTTTTGATTAACTAAACAGTATAGACAAGAACCAGCAGATCCCTCTGCCTCCCACAGAACACTTAAACGCTTTTCCTTCTGTCCATTCTCACTGCCATCCCAAGTTCAGGCTCAATCATCTCTCTGTTGAGCTCAGATGACCCAATGTATAATGGTTCAACTCAGTTTTTTGGTTTTACAATGGAGCGAAAGCAATGCACACTCAGTCGAAACTGTACTTTGAGTACCCATCCAACCACTCGTCTTCCGCTTTCAGTACAGTATTGGTCAACTACATGAGATAGTAAACATTTTGTTATCAAATAGGGTTTGTGTTAGATCATTTTGCCCAAGAGCAGGCTGACATAAATGTTCCGAGCATATTGAAAGCATGCAACTTAGCTAGGATGCTCATTAGGTTGGGTTTACTAAATGTACTTTCAACTTACAATATTTTCAACTTAGGGAACCCCATTGTAAATATTCCAGTAAGTCTTTCTGCTTTTTTCTTTATTCCCCTCCAATCCATATTCCACAATGCCACCAAAGTGAGTTTTCCTTAAAAAGCAATTCAGATCATGTCACTCTTTGAAACCTTTCAAAGCCTTCCTTCTGCCTTTAGGATAATGTCCAAACACCCTAAGATGGCTTAGGAGACCCAGCTGATCAAGCTCTCTAGTCATTTAGTTACCATTCACCCCCCAAAATTCTTTAGCCATATTAACTGACCCATGTGGAATTCCATCATTAGACCATGCTGTCTTCCAGAGGGAAACTGTGCTCGGGCCTATCAGGAAAATCCCAGTAAGCATTAAAGAAACTCAAATCATGGATTTAGGTCTGCAGCATTAACTAGTTTCCTAAGGCCAATTGTTGACTACTGGAGTCATCCAGACAGTGTTTCCTCTTCTGGAAAAAAAAAGGACAGTCAAAAATACAAAGGACAGGGAGGGCTGCTGGAGAAGGCAAGGCTGGAAACACAAGCTTCTTGAGAAAATGTACCCATCTCTGGGTCTGGTGTCTGGTACCCGTTATCATCTGCACATAGTGGTTACTCAATAAATTTCTGTTGAATGAGTGAACAATCAAAGTGAACAGAATAAGAAACTCTGGGGACAGAACTCAGAAATAAAAAAAGGGAGTAGGCCAGTGTTCCCATTCTGGCCAAAAAAAGTCAAAGACAGGGTTGTTAGAGGCTTTGGGAAGGTCCTTCTCTGGTCACAAAAGAGTCATGGAAAGCCTGTTTCTCCCAGGACATGCGTGAGGAAGCACAGTGCCCTGGTTGCCACTGGCTGCTATTTTGCAACCATTAAATAACAGATACGGTGGGTGACAGAGAGGAGAGGCAGGGCCTCCCCTCCTGCCAGCCAGTGTTCAACTTGTAGTCTTTCCTGGGCTTCTAGTTATGTGAGTCAATAAACTTTGTTATTTAAATCAGTTTGGGCTGTAACTTGCAGCCCAGAGCCTCTTGATACATCTCTGAGAAGCAATAAAATGAAAAATTTTTTAAACTTTTTTTTTTTTGAGTTGGAGTCTCACTCTGTCACCCAGACCGGATAGAGTGTAGTGGCACGCTCCAGACCACCGCAGCCTCAACTTGCTGGGCTCCAGCGATCCTTCCACCTCAGCCTTCCAAGTAGACAGAACTACAGGTGCGCGCTACCATGCCCGGCTAATTTTTTATTTATTGTAGAGATGAGGAGGTCTCGCTAAGTTGCTCGGGAGGGTCTCGAACCCGTAGGCTCAGGCAATCCACTCGCGTTGGCCTACCAAAGTGCTAGGATTACAGGCTGAACCACCGAGCTCAGCCACATTTTTTTTTAAAATCAGGGTCTCACTCTGTCGCCCAAGCTGGAGTGCAGTGGCACAATCATGGCTCACTACGGCCTCAAAATCCCGGGCTCAAGTGATTCTCCAGCCTCAGTTTCCTGAGTAGCTAATTTTTAAATTTTTTGTAGAGATGAGGTTTCATTATGTTTCCCAGGCTGGTCTCAAACTTCTGGGTTCAAGCAATCCTCCTGCCTTAGCCCTCCCAAAATACTGGGACTACAGGCATGAGCCACAGTGCTCAGCTAAAAAAAAATTTTTAATGAGAAAATCATGTAAAGATGATGAACAAAAAATGCCATCAGTTAATTTTGTAGCCTCATCAGAAACTCATCTCAAAAAAATAGCAAAACAAATTATAATTATACAGGAATATAGATCTTTTGTGCAATTTATACAGCATTAAAAGTATATCAAATAACTCAGTCAGGAGCAGTGGCTCACGCCTATAATCCCAGCACTTTGGGAGGCGGAAGCAAGAGGAATGCCTAAGCTCAGGGGTTCAAGACCAGTCTGGGCAACTTGGCAAGACCCTGTCTCTACAATAAATCTAAAAATTAGCTAGGCATGGTGGTAGGAGCCTGTAGTTCCAGCTACTTGGAAGGCTGAGGTGGAAGGATACCTTCAGCCCAGCAAGTTGAGGCTACAATGGCCATCCATGAGTGTGCCACTGCACTCTAGCCTGGGTGACGAAGTGAGACTCCAACTAAAAAAAAAAAAAAAAAAAAAAAAAAGCGTATCAAATAATTCATATGTACTAACTGTGAAAAAAAGTATCAAGCTTTTGCTAATTGGAATTAACAGTAGATTAGACACTACAGAAGAAAATACAAATAAACATGAAAGCACAGTAACAAAATATCCATAATAAAACACAGAAAGAAAAAATGCTGGAAAAAAAAAAAGAACAGAACATCAGTGAAGTCCCCAAAAGAGAAATGGGGGAGAACAGAAAAATATTTAGAGAAACAATGGAAAAGATTTTTCCAAATTTGATTAAAACTATACATTCATAGACCCAAGTATCAACCAATCACAAGCCCAAGAATCATGTAGAAAATGACATCAAAATACATCACAATCAAATTATTTGAAACCAGTGATAAAATCTTAAAAGCATTCACAGAAAAAAGACACATTATATACAAAGAATCAAAGATAAAAATGACTACAGACTTCTCAGAAAATGCAAGCCAAAGAGCATCATCTTTAAAGCAATGAAAGAAAAGAATGATCACACAGGAGCTCTATACCCAACATACATGTCTTTCAAAATGAAAGCAAGGGCGGGGCGGCACACTTCATCAATAAGGGTGCCTGATATCAAACCAGGTGAAAGGGGGACCAAACTGAAGCCCAAATTTACCTGTACAATGACAATTTGTATACCAAACCCTGAATTGTACCCCACATCTTTAAAATAAAATTTTTTAAAAGATCAATGCTGCAAAACTATAGTGAGTAGCTGGCTTTCTTAATTGATTGCAAGAGGTGGCCTACTCAAGCTGATTGGCTGGCACTGGCTACCCTGTAGATGTTGTTTATCTTTGATAATCAGTGTTTTGGGGTGTGACTTTGGCTTTGAAAATTAAATAAAAATAGAGTTTTAATAGTTCTTCAATACTTATTTGGGATAGTTATTCAATAGTTATTGAAAATAGTTATTTTTTTTAAAAAGGAAGCAAAATAAGTACTTTTTTTTATCATACAGAAGCTGAAAGAATTCATCCCCCCATACGCTATTAGAAATGTTAGGCCGGGTGTAGTGGCTCAAGCCTGTAATCCCAGCACTTTGGGAGGCCGAGGTGAAGGGACTGCCCAAGCCCACAGGTTCGAGAACAGCCTGGGCAACTTGGCAAGATCTCACTTCTACAGTAAATAAATAAAAATCAGCCGGGTGTGGTAGCACGCGTCTGTAGTTCCAGCTACTTGGAAGGCTGAGGCGGAAGGATCGCCTGAGCCCAGCAGGTCGACGCTGGGGTGGTCGTGAGCGTGTGTACCACTGTACTCCAGCCTGGGCCACAGAGTGAGACACCAACTCAAAAAAAAAAAAAGAAAGAAATGTTGAAGAATGTTCTTTAGGTAAAAGGAAAAAGATACCAGATGGAAATAGACACAACAGAATGCAGAAGCCCAGACATGGTAAATAGGTGGGTAAATATACAAGCCTTTTTTTCTTCTTTCTTTTTTTTTTTTAAAGCAGACTGTAGTTAGGGTCTTCTACTATATGTGAAGAGTTGTAATAGCACTTAAAGGTAGACTGATAAGTTAAAGATGTATACTATATACCCTAAAGCAACCATTAAAAAGTAAAAATAAAGACACCAGAGTTAGAGCTAATAACCTAAACATTAGTCCTAAACACACTCGATAAACCTAAACATACACAATAATCAGATGAAATGCATATGGTCTGAACACTCCAACTAAAAGGCAGAGATTGTCAGACTGGGCAAAAAGCCAGGCTCAACTACATACCACCTGCAAGAAGCCCACTTTCAAAACAAAGACACACACGGGCTACCACTGAAAGAATAGAAAAAGGTAGCCGGGCTCGGTGGCTCAGCTTGTAATCCCGCACTTTGGGAGGCTGAGGTGAGTGGATTGCCTGAGCCCGCGGGTCAAGACCCACCTGGGCAACTTGGCGAGACCTCATCTCTACAGTAATCAAAAATCAGCCAGGCGTGTAGCGCATGCCTGTA